TCCGTTTCATTAATGGTCAACAACAAGGATCGACCTATCTTTCGCAGTTATTAAATAATCTCTGGGTTGTTGCTTAAGATAGTAATTCATGCTTCCAAAATCTTAGAAATTCGCACGAAAATGTAAAATGGCTCTTAACCATTAGTAGCAAAATTTAACAATTTGTTATTTTAACTATGAATCAAAAAACTGGGCCTTACTCGCCTCTCCCTTTATTTATAAATAAATAAATAAATAAATAAATTTCTTACTTTCCCCTCTCTTATCCCCTCTTACTTTCATCTCTCACCTTCCTCTCTTACTTTACTCTCTCTCTCTTACTCCATATAACAAATACTCACAAACATATGCCGCTGCCGGTTGCTATGCGTGCTAAACTGCTTCCCGCAAGCGCCGCACACGTAAGACGGCTTGTGGGCGCTGTGCACGCGCCTGTGCGCGACTAGTCGCTGTTTCATCCGGAACGACTTGTCGCAGGAGTCGCATTTGAACGGACGTTCGCCGGTGTGCGTCCAGCGGTGGTCTTTTAGGAGAGCGTAACTCTGGAATGAAAATAAAGCATGCGAAAATGCAAAGAATTCCACAACCTAATCCGACTACATGACTAGTCGCGCTATGAAACCGCTGGTAAGGGGTATCTTTGTTTAACAATAACGTGATAACTATAATTCATTCTTTTAAGTTGTAATTGATGTAATTTCATTACATATTTTTTATTAATAATTCAAAGCAAAAAAGGTTTCTTACATATGAATAGTCAAAAAATGACAGCTGTCAGAATTCCGCCGAATTAAAAATTGGACTATAGATTAATAAAACATTCGTTTTGTAAAATAGCTTAAATACTAATAATACAATGCAATTAAACATACTTTAACGATCTGGTTTATCTTGTTATAAAATAACTGAAAAATAATTGAAAACAGTAATGTTTTTTTCTACTTAAATCCATTCTTACTCTCTTAAAATGTATGAAAAGTATGTCTGTTTTCTATTTCTACCAATAGATAATTTTACTAGCTATCGCATGATAAGAACGAAGTAATAGAATCGGGACTATTCCCACCTCTCGTTCCCACCGCTGCAACTCCTGTGTAGCCAGGATCTACAGCTTGACCGCCAATAACCCAACCAGTGAAGGTCAAGTTTGTCCCGGGGGAAAGTTAAACTGTCATTGGATCCGCAACGAAATTAATCAGAAGAATAAAGGAGTTCGAAGTTAAGGTTCGACTTCCAGTGTAAAGCGGATGAACCTACCTGAAACATTCTTCCACAGAGTTCGCACATACAAGGCGACTTCATAGACGGGTATTTGGTTCGATTCTTGTCGGGGTGCATCCGTCTGAAGTGGCCGTGGTAGGCGCGCGAGTCTTCAAGCTGGACGCCGCGGGGTTTCTAAGTCTTTAGTCTGCGCGGTACCTAAATGTCTACAGTCTGCGCAGTTTCTTAAAGTCTGTAAACTGCGAGGTGTGTAAAAGTCTACAGTCTGCGAAGTGTCTAAAAGTCTACAGTCTGCGCGGTTTCTAAAAGTCTACAGTCTGCGCGGTTTCTAAAAGTTTACAGTCTGCGCGGTTTCTAAAAGTCTACGGTCTGCGAAATGTCTAAAAGTCTACAGTCTGCGCGGTTTTCTAAGTCTACAGTCTGTACAGTGTCTAAAAGTCTACAGTCTGTACAGTGTCTAAAAGTGTGTAGTCTGCACAGTGTCTAAAAGTGTGTAGTCTGCAGTGTCTAAAAGTGTGTAGTCTGTACAGTGTCTAAAAATCTGTAGTCAGCGCGATGTCTAAAAGTAGTCCGCGAGAAGTCTACAGTCTGCGAGAAGTCGGTAGTCCGCGTGATTTGTTGTAGTTTTCGAGCTATCACCACCCTGTATATCTATCTATCTAATCAATGTACCTGGAACATTCTTCCACAGAGTTCGCACATACAAGGCGACTTCATAGACGGGTATTTGGTTCGATTCTTGTCGGGGTGCATCCGTCTGAAGTGGCCGTGGTAAGCGCGCGAGTCTTCAAGCTGGACGCCGCGGGGTTTCTAAGTCTTTAGTCTGTGCGGTGTCTAAAAGTCTACAGTCTGCGCAGTTTCTTAAAGTCTGTAAACTGCGAGGTGTGTAAAAGTCTGCAGTCTGCGAAGTGTCTGAAAGTCTACAGTCTGTACAGTTTCTAAAAGTCTACAGTCTGCGCGGTTTCTAAAAGTCTACAGTCTGCGCGGTTTCTAAAAGTCTACAGTCTGCGCGGTTTCTAAAAGTCTACAGTCTGCGCGGTTTCTAAAAGTCTACAGTCTGTGCGGTATCTAAAAGTCTACAGTCTGCGCGGTTTCTAAAAGTCTACAGTCTGTGCGGTTTCTAAAAGTCTACAGTCTGCGCGGTTTCTAAACGTCTACAGACTGCGCGGTTTCAAAACGTCTACAGTCTGTGCGGTTTCTAAAAGTCTACAGTCTGCGCGGTTTCTAAAAGTCTACAGTCTGCGCGGTTTCTAAAAGTCAACAGTCTGCGCGGTTTCTAAAAGTCAACAGTCTGCGGCCTGCGGGAAGTCTGTAATCTGCAGTGTCCAAAAAGTGTAGTTTGCAATGATGAATGATGATGATGATGATGAATCAGTCCTACCTGGAACATTCTCCCGCAAAGTTCGCACATGCAAGGCGACTTCATAGACGGGTACTTGGTTCGATTCTTGTCGGGGTGCATCCGTCTGAAGTGACCGTGGTAAGCGCGCGAGTCTTCAAGCTGGACGCCGCGGGGTTTCTAAAAGGCTTTAGTCTAAAAGTCTACAGTCTGCGAAGGGTCTTAAAGTCTGTAATCTGCGGGAAGTCTTTAGTCTGCAATATCTAAAAGTCTACAGTCTGCGCGGTGTCTAAAAGTCTACAGTCTGCGCGGTTTCTAAAAGTCTACAGTCTGCGCGGTTTCTAAAAGTCTACGGTCTGCGAAATGTCTAAAAGTCTACAGTCTGCGCGGTTTTCTAAGTCTACAGTCTGTACAGTGTCTAAAAGTCTACAGTCTGTACAGTGTCTAAAAGTGTGTAGTCTGCACAGTGTCTAAAAGTGTGTAGTCTGTACAGTGTCTAAAAGTGTGTAGTCTGTACAGTGTCTAAAAGTGTGTAGTGTGTACAGTGTCTAAAAATATGTAGTCAGCGCGATGTCTAAAAGTAGTCCGCGAGAAGTCTGTAGTCCGCGTGATTCTCCCGCAGAGTTCGCACATACAAGGCGACTTCATAGACGGGTATTTGGTTCGATTCTTGTCGGGGTGCATCCGTCTGAAGTGGCCGTGGTAGGCGCGCGAGTCTTCAAGTTAAACGCCGCGGGATTTCTAAAAGTCGATAGTCTACGTGGTGTCTAAGTCTGTAGTCTAAACAATGTCTACATTTCTAGAAAAGCTAATTCGAAAGTTCTTTCTATGCAGATAGAGATATTTTTGTAGTAGTCTTCAAGCTGGACGCCACGGGGTTCCTAAAAGTCTTTAGTCTGCGCGGTATCTAAATTTCTACAGTCTGCGCAGTTTCTTAAAGTCTGTAAACTGCGAGGTGTGTAAAAGTCTGCAGTCTGCGAAGTGTCTGAAAGTCTACAGTCTGTACAGTTTCTAAAAGTCTACAGTCTGTGCGGTTTCTAAAAGTCTACAGTCTGCGCGGTTTCTAAAAGTCTACGGTCTGCGAAATGTCTAAAAGTCTACAGTCTGCGCGGTTTTCTAAGTCTACAGTCTGTACAGTGTCTAAAAGTCTACAGTCTGTACAGTGTCTAAAAGTGTGTAGTCTGCACAGTGTCAAAAAGTGTGTAGTCTGTACAGTGTCTAAAAATCTGTAGTCAGCGCGATGTCTAAAAGTAGTCCGCGAGAAGTCTACAGTCTGCGAGAAGTCTGTAGTCCGCGTGATTATTTGTAGTTTTCGAGCTATCACCACCCTGTATATCTATCTATCTAATCAATGTACCTGGAACATTCTCCCGCAGAGTTCGCACATGCAGGGCGACTTCATAGACGGGTACTTGGTTCGATTCTTGTCGGGGTGCATCCGTCTGAAGTGACCGTGGTAAGCGCGCGAGTCTTCAAGCTGGACGCCGCACTGGAATACATAAATAAATATATACTAATATTACAAATGCGAAAGTAACTCTTTCTGTCTGTCGGTCTGTCTGTCTGTCTGTCTCGTCGCTTTCACGCCTAAACCACTGATTTTGATGAAATTTGGCATAGAGATAGTTTGAGTCCCGGGAAAGGACATAGGATAGTTTTTATCCCGGTTTTTGAAACAGGGACGCGCGCGATAAAGATTTTTTGTGACAGACAATATTCCACGCGGATCCTTGGACATTTTTACGGATATTAGAATAATATTATACCGGTTTCGGTTACGGTTACGGATATGAAATCATTTCGGATTATCCGAAAGTTTCGGATAATTTCGGTTACGGATATTACAATTAATAAAAAATGAAAAATCCAAATAGCAAGATGCTGCGCGACACATATAGCCACTTTATGTACTATGACGACATTTACGATAAAGATAAAACAGGCGGGCATATTAGATGGTGCCAGGGAATGCCAGACAAGTAACAAATATTAAAAAAACATTAAGATTTAGACTCCACCTTTACCCGAAACTTTTCAAATCAAATCAAATCAAATAAGTTTCATACATTGATGAATCTTAAATTTAAACGTAAAATTGTTCAGCTACAATTTGCCAAGCAGATGGCGTGCAATATACATATAAATGTTAACTTTATTTACAATAAACAGTTTTTTTTAAACTAAGGCAAACCTAACTCTAAATATAAATGGTTACTTAATACTAATACCTGTTCATTTTATAATTTTACATGCAAACATTTTGAATCGGTTACGGATATTTTTTTATTTCGGATATCCGATAGTTTCGGTTACGGATATCCATAACATCCTTGCATCGAGCCATAGTTTACTGACCTGCTCGCATGGTATAGGCCCCTCCGCTTTCCGCATCTGACTGGGATAGAGCTTATCTTCGTCCTTCTCTCTCCTATCCTTGGCTCTCCTCTCTCTCTCTTTGGTCTCTCTCGATTTTCTCCCGTTGGGTGGCTTGTTTGGTTCTCTTGACCCTATAAATAAGAAATACAAAAGTTTGATTGAAGGTCAAGATTGGCTGACAACAGTGACTGAGTTTCTTGCGCTGCTTCTTCTCAGCACTGGCCCATTTATTGTCCTAAAGCAGTGGTAGGGTTAATACTGGGACGTGTAAAAGTGCTTTTTTAAAGCCTTTTGCAGAAATAAATGAGTAGTACCTTTAGCAGACTTTTTATATGAACTCGGGAAGGGATCAACACTGTATCGCTTTTCGTGAGCTGTCATCATCATTCGCGCGCTGTCAACCGCGAGGCGAGGCGTTTACGTTACGGTGCGAATAAGTACGCGTTGCAGTATGGAGTTTCATACAAAGAATACTGACCAGCTCGAGTTGATACGGTTACGATCCCTTTCCGTGTTGATAAGTGTGCTACGTCCTATATTTAACGACTATGATTGGTGGTGTTTTTAAGAGCTTAAAATTGCCTCCGAATAACATCAAAATTGAGGCCTGTATGGTTGAATTTCAATCACAGAGCAGAATCTGAATGAAAACGTAACAGCAAACGATTGCAGCCTCTAATTCTCACCACTGCAACTTGGCCTCCAATGAAACCTAACCAGTGAAGGTTGAGTAGTGCCGGGGGATAGCTATCAGTCTTTTTTCAGGATTAAAACTAAGTGTTTTTACAAAGTTTATATTGACTTCGCTTGTTAATTAATTTAGTTTGGTACCTGTCTGGCCAGGATGGGGAGTGTAGGCCAAATCCTCCATTTGCCTCTGGTATTAGAGAGAGTCGTGCTCCTGCAGTAGAGACTAAATGACTTGTGTTATTAGTGCGAGTATGCATTGAACGTCGTCGCTAGCCAGCGCGTCAAAAACATCTATAAAGATTTTAGTTCTTGAAAGTATCCGCTAGGGACGCTGTACTATCGGCCACGGTGCTAACTATCCATTTCCGTTTTAACTCTCATCAAATGGTGATTCTTTACGAACGAGACGACATGACCGGCAATGGGAAGTTAACACTGTTGCCGATAGTACAGTCCGTCATAAATCTAATGTCATTTTCTACGCGCTCACTAGTGACGACTTTTGATGTAAACTCACAATCAGCCCTCTGGTGATGTCAAGCAAGACTCACCCTTATCAAAGTCAAAGTCAAAGTCAAAATTTCTTTATTTGTTTGGACTAATAAATAGTTCTTACAAATCGTCATTTTGCTCTTAAGGAGCCTCTACATGTCTCATAATCTTTTTACCCTACCAGCGCTTCGAGACCAACATTTGGCAAGTGCTGAGAAGAAGCGCCGCAACAAACTCAGTCACCACTGTCTGCCGGTTAATATAAATAAATAGAAATAGTAGTAGTAGGTACATTCGATTCAGGAGCAGTTCACTGAATTTACCATGCATTCTTGTATGGTGTATCTTATAAGAATGGGTATACAAGATTGCGTGGTATATTAAACAAGGTAGTGACGTGCTAATTTCTAGACTTACATATTAAGATACTAGTAGAAATGACTCGCATACATAAATTTGAATAACTTGGATTGACCAGTCCCCGAAAGCAGCGCCTGTTCACAGACATGACGAGTGAACCAGCCATCGCTTCACTCGACCATATTAGAGGGAATGTANCGGAACAGGACACATCACAGGTCAAGTCTATTATGGGTATAGTTGGATTCTTCGATTCATGATCATTGTTCATCAATTCATTATACAGACTAACGGTTGAGTTGAATTCTTGAGCCTGTTTTTCTTCCTCCATAGATTTTATGGTTTTATGTGACTCACATAGGCTCTTTTCGAGGTCATATCGACAGGGTTGTGCCTCGCTGAGACACTTATGTGTCGCTTGTACGCGTCTGTGTCCACGAAGCGAATATTGCATGGAGACTAATGCCCGTTTTCACCATCAATCCCTAATTTATAAGCGACCCCTATGAAAACAAAATTCATAACAACTGTTACCATAGGGGTCACTTATAAATTAGGGATTGATGGTGAAAACGGGCATTAATGACCTGATGGTGTTAGACCAGTGGTTCCCAAACTTATTTAGTCTACTGCCCACTTTGAGAATAAATTATTTTTTAGCGCCCCCCATTTTTGTAGTCAAGAGTCGAGCTCAGTCGATGTCTAAGAGTCCTCCTAGTAAATGACGCCTACCAAGCCTCTACACAACGTCCCGATTTTTTTTCTGGGTCTCTTACGCCCCCCTTTAAGCCTGCAGCGCCCACAAGGGGGTGCCCACTTTGGGAAAGACTGTGTTAGACTCACCCTTATCGACAGGGTTGTGCCTCGCTGACACGCTGATGTGCCGTTTGTACGCGTCTGTGTCCACGAAGCGAATATTGCAGAGATCGCAGGTCGGACCATCTTCTGGTATCTGAAATAAATTATAAAAGACCAGTCTTTGTGGAAGGAAATCCTTGACCTTTGTCCAGCAGTGGACGTCATTCGGCTTTTACTAATTTTCTTAATTACACTAATATCATAAAAAGGAATGATTTTATTGTTTGTTTGAACTAGCGACCGCCCCTGCTTTGCATAGGTAATTAAAAACCTTCATTTTGATTCACTCGATCTATTTAAAAAAAACCGCATCAAAATCCGTTACGTAGTTTTAAAGATCTACACACATAGGGACAGACAGGAAGGCGACTTTGTTTTATACTTTGTAATGATAGTGATATCGCACGTGCTTAGTATCTCCTATTCAAGATAATTATGTATAAAAACTCAGAAAACAGTTGAGAAAGTAAAAGAAATAAAAAAAAAACAAACATACAGAAAGGGTGAAAATATCACGAAAAATAATAAAATAAACGAAATTAAAAAAACTAACACGTGGATTTTCTTGCTGATGCTTCAGTATCTTGAGCTCTCAATTTTTTATATCGCTGGCGAAAAAGGAAAGTAAGGGGAAGAAAATAAAAAAAAAAACATGCAGCAAATTTTTTTTAAAATAATTAACAAAAAATTGAAAAAAAAAGAAAATAAAACCAAAAATATAGGGAAAAAAATACAAAAAAAAATAAAAATAAGTTAGGAAAAACGCAAAAAAAAGAAGAAAACAAAAACCAACCTGCGCATTCTCCTGCCGGTGCTTTTATTTCTTGTGCAGTGTTATCCCTTTCTCGCTAACTAGCGTTAAATAAGGGGAAAAACAAAAAAAGCGAGGGAATGAGGAAAAATATTTAGAAATCATCAAAATAATAAGAAATTTGGAAATAGAAGCAAAAAGACGAAAAAAAAACAAAAAAAATAATAAGAAGTAGGAAAAAACACAAAGAAAAAGAAAAAACACGAAAATAAATAAAAACTAACCTGCGCATTCTCCTGCCGGTGCTTCAGTTTCTTGTGCAGTGTTATCCCTTTCTCGCTGACAAGCGTAAAATAAGGGGAAAAACAAAAAAGAAAGCGAGGGAATGAGGAAAAATATTAATAAATCCTCAAATAAAACCAAAAATATAGGGAAAAAAAACAAAAAGTTAAACAGAAGTAGTAAAACACAAAAAAAAAACGAAAATAAACAAAAACTAACCTGCGCATTCTCCTGCCGGTGCTTCAGTTTCTTGTGCAGTGCTATCCCTTTTTCGCTGACGAATGAATACCCGCATAGTTGGCAGACGAAGTCAGATGGATGCTTGATGCGAATGTGACCCATGTAGGTTGTGAACTTACTGCGAATATAAAAGAAAGGTTTTTAACGTTGTAATAACCACAATCACTGTAATTTTCAACAAATTTTAGTTAGTTTCGATCAAATTTTTGGAAATCTTTGAATGCAGTTTTATTTCTTTTCAAAAACAAAGGAATGTGTCCTTTGAGTAATATTTTTTATCTACAGTATTAAGAGTGCTTTCCCTCCAGGTGGCATTACATTGGAAATCGTCAAAAATGTGTTATAAAACCATTTTACAGTATCACGTTTATGTGATTTGTGCATACAAATTGATCACACCTAGTTTAAGTACAAATCAATTGAATAATGTTGCTTTTTTTTTCATTATTTTTAAGAAATCTAGGTATTCTTCAGATAAAAGATATGTAGATTATTAATTTTGACTGATTTTTGACTAACGCCCTTGGTCAAAACCACTTTTGACTGATTTTTGCAGTTAAAAGTGGTTTTGACCGATTCTGAGTTTTGTGTGTAACATAACGTCGCTTGCCTCTCTAACTGACGTGTCTGACATTTTTTTCGAAACTGAGTTATCTACACATCTTAATCAATTTCGCAAGACGAATCGATCTGTCTAATCGCCTGAAAATTTAATGTCAGTTACGTCAGTTAGAGAGGCAAGCGACGATAAGTATAGATGACCCACGCTGAACTGTCCCACCAAACTCAATGACAGGGGGCGCTACCATCGTTCAACTATATGGTTTCCAACATGGCAAAAATCTCAACCAGCGATCCGGTATTGACGGTGGCGCCCCACTGTCAATGTCATCGACAGGACAGTCCAGTATTTTGGAACTATAGTGTATTATGTGAATGTCTTAAATGTGTATTGCTGTTGGTGTACCTTTATCAATAAATAAATCTATATAAATAAAAATGAATTGTTGTTCGTTAGTCTGATTAAAACTCGAGAACGGCTGGGCCGATTGAGTTGATTTTGGTTTTAAAATGTTTGTCGTAGTCCAGGGTAGGTCTAAACGGTGAGCAAATAAGGAAAAATTGCGATGGCTTATTTATTGCCTTTAAGGCGGAACAGAGTTCGCGGGGTCAGGTAGTAAATAAATAAATAAGTAATCCATACTCACAGGAATTCGTCCGGGCAGTGCGGGCAGGCGTATTTAGTTCCTTTGTGCCAGCGCTCGTGCAACCGAGCGGATTGTCTGTGCGCCGTCACGTAAGGACACTGCTTGCAGCTGAATCTGCAAGGTATTAAATAGTAAGATAAAGAAACACGGGTCCTAAAGCGACTGGGTTACCATAAATTTGACTTGAAAAAATTAATAGTTTAAAAAACTATAAACACGCTTTTAATTAACCCAAACTCGATAATTCACGTATAGCCTGACCAGGAACATAAAAACCCTGGCATAGAGGCGCGTCAATTGCATTTGATAGTGCAACACTGAGTATAGTCGCACCCGTGTTAAATTAATAGGCTCACTTTATGTATCAGGATTCAGGATTACGGGCTAATTTGATATTTTCATATATTAACGAAAAAATATTATTATAGGTAACCTAGTTTAAATAAATTAAATGAAACCATCAATCGAGCTAGTAGGATTTATTTTATTATTCATCAATAATCAAATTCAGAACTTGAATATTCAACTGCAATGTCTGCTCATGAACGCTTCAAACTCGGTACTTCTTTCCCAATTCCATAAAATTCAACACTTAGAAAGTGACAAAAAACTTTAAAATAGGTAGTTGAAACAAACCACAGCTAATTTTCATAGTGGACTGTACTATACGATAAACATGTCAGTCAATTTGACAACCTTTGTTGGAAACATTATTCAATGAAAATATTGTCCGAACCCTTGGTATTTCTCTTCGACAAATACTTTAACACATTGTGAACCACTTTTCTTTCACGACTATAAAAAGATTTTAGCAATTTCATTCACAAAATCAATTGCGCACATTTAAAATAAAGTTTGTTTACACTTTGACAGCAATAGACTGACATGCAAGGTGACATGTCAATGAAGTTTTCAGTTACTGTTGCCATTAAAAGAAATTAGTACCATTAGTTTTCCGCAACATGGCGAGGGGTTATGTTCCTGGTCAGGCTATAACAAAACTTCAACGACATGCAAGCGATTTGATCGCTGGATCACTTTTCGTATTCACGTGTTTGTCGCCCGATTTTGTTTCGATTTCGTATTTTGAAGTTTGGTTCAAGTGATTAAACGTCAAATGACAAATCACTGAGCTGCCATGCTATCGAGTAATCGTTCTATCGAAATGACCCTTGTGAATACGGATTTAGAACTGTTTTTCAATAGGACGACTTCTAAACGTCAACGACATTTTGACTGTGTCAAAATACGTGAATTAGGCCACTGTCATATAGTTCCAAAATACTGAACTGTCCTATGCATGACATTGACAGAGGGGCGCCACCGTCAATACCGGATCGCTGGTTCCGATTTTTGCCATGTTGGAAACCATATAGTTGAACGATGGTAGCGCCCCCCTGTCATTGAGTTTGGTGGCACAGTTCAGCGTAGGTCATCTATATCACACACCGGACAGACTGTCCCAATACAAATGACAGCAAATTTTGTATGGCAATTTGAAGCGCCCTGCGCCACTACGATTGTCCCGAGAACTAATTTTGACGTACATTGCAAGGGTAAGCAAGAAGTACTAATTTTTTTTTAAAGAAAGATTATTATTAGTAATTTGTGTAATAACAATTATAATTATAATATAAATTACTAATAGTCCCGTTAGCCCCTCGTACTAAGCTAAATATGCACATTTATTATCTTACCTCTGTGTGTGGTGGGCTGTTATGTGCTTTCTGAGAGCGTGTGGATGTCTGAAATGGGTCTTACATACATCGCACCGGTGTACGCCGCATTCCTGAAAAATTATAAATAACAATAAATCCTTTATACAAGAGATTAACAACTACGTATTGCTAGTAAAGCCCGGTCTGTGAGCACGTAGAATTTTGTCCAATGACCCCAAGCTACCCATCCTTATCGCTCGCGCGTAATTATATTGCTGTCGCGACTGTGCGATGCTCTTGGTTAATATCACTTTTGACTGATTTTTACCAGTTTTTGCACTCTAAAAGCGATTTTGACTAACGTCTTTGGTCAAAACCACTTTTGACTAGTAAAAATCAGTCAAAAGTGATTTTGCCTATTTAAAATTTTACCAATCTGTTTAAATTCATATGAAGGGTTTTAATGTGTAACATTTTTGTGATTTGTGCATACAAAATGATCACACCTACCTTAGGTTTTACTTTTAAGTAATCTAGGTATTCGTCAGGTAAAATACGTAGATTTATCAATTTGTTTGGTCGGTTCAATAAAATTTTTGCACTCAAAAGTGGTTTTGACTAACGCGCTTGGTCAAAAGTGATATTGACCAAGGGCATCAGTCAAAACCACTTTTGACTGATTTTTGCAGTCAAAAGTGGTTTTGACCAATTATGAGTTTTGACTGTAACATAAATACTTACATCCGTATGCCTCAGCATATGAGAATTGTACGCATCTTCGTCTAAAAAACCCTTGTAACACTCCATACACTTAAACACAGCGTTCTTGAAGTTCGAACTCTCTTGCCTTTTCTCAATTTCAGCCACTTGCTCTTCATAAGTCAAATCTATTATTGTAAACAGCGTTTCGTTCAAATCGTCACTCAAAAACGGTTTTCTTCGCCTATCAATTTTAGGTTCTTTATTTTTTTGCGGTTTTTTCTTGAGTTTTTTTTGTTCTTTCTTCTTCTTTACTTCTTGGAGCGTGCTATCGTCACTAGAATAGTCTTTTTCTGACGCTACATAGTCGTCTAATATCTGTTCTAGTTTTAGCTCGTCATCGCCTTTACGTTCTGTGTCTATGACGAGTGATAGTTCTTCTAATTCGTCATCTTTTGTGTCGTTTTCTTCGACGTTTGGCTCGTAGTACTTTCTGTCGAACTCTATGGTTATTTGGTTTTCGGTGACGACCACTGGGTGCTGGAAAATTAAATAATTAAATTTAAAATTATAAAAACAAGCTTTTGCCCGCGGCTTCACCAGTATGAAATTTCGTTTGTCACAGATCGTTATACGTTACAGAAATTATAACCTATATGTTATTCTGGATTATAAACAATAATACCTACTGTAAAGTTCATCAAAATCCGTTCAGTAGTTTTTGCGTGAAAGAGTACGTAACAAACATCCAGACATCCAAACTTTCGCATTTATAATATTAGTAGGATCATTTATTTTTACAAGTAGGCTTTTAAAAAGCACTTTTACATGTCCCAGTATCAACCCTACCACTGCTTCAGGTCAATAAATGGGCCAGTGCTGAGAAGAAGCAGCGCAAGAAACTCAGTCACTATTGTCAGCCTCTTTTTCAAGGGTTTACAGTCTTTAAAATATAAATAAATGCGAGCCCAACCACTTCTGCGGTCTAGTGGTAGGTCCCGGGTTCGATTCCCATTGGGGGCAGATTTTTCTGTTCGGTTTGGTTGGTGGTAGGGCTTGTTCTAAGTCCGCCTGGCTAGCTACCACCATCTCACCTAAGTCTGTCGCCATAACAACAATGTTAACAGCATTGTTGCGTTCCGGCAGTTAGAGGTAAGATAGCCAGTTCCTCCGTGGTTGAGGATTCCGGGTGAAGCTCGCTTCCACCTTCGGCCTGATCGTCACTTACCATCAGGTGAGATACAGGCCAAGAGCTTCCTCGTTGTGGATTTAAAAAAGCTAGTTAAACATTTACAAATCAAAAGTATTTAAAGATATACTCACTTCAGTATGGTTCGCTACATGGCTGTAATAGTCAAACTCTTCTTTAAAACTCTGCGCGCAAACCAAGCATTTCAGCTCATCACCTTTACGTTTATCAACATCACCTGCCTTCATCTTTTCAGATTCTTCCATCTCTTTCTTTCTCTTACTAACTTCTAGAGGTAGAGAATCATCTGAAGAATATCCATCGACGGAATCGTTCATATCTGCCTCCATTCTTGCGTCAAACTCTTCCAAAAACACTTCGTTGCTGAATGTACTGTCGAAATTGATTTCTTTAGTTCTATCGTCTTCAAGGAATAAATCGTAGTGGTTGGATTCAAAGTGTTTTGGAGCTAGATTCGGTGTGAGCAAGTTTTTTTCGCGGTTAATCGCTTTTATGTTTTCGTATGTGAGCTGGAATTGAAATAAAGTGATTTATTAAATTGAAATAAGTTTTTAAGTCATTTTAAGTTAATGTACCTATTATTATAAAATTTATTCTCTAATAAACCTACACTTAATTGAAATACATATGTATGTACCTACTTGTTTATGGATTTTTAGTTAACACAATCTATAAAATATTTTAGTTTTCTTTACTAAGGCTGGGTTGCACCATCTTACTTTAACTTTAACAAACATCTGTCCAACTCCATAGAAAAAACACTGGTTATCGGTGCAGTTCCGGTTAAAGTTCAGTCAAAATAACTATAAAATGATTTCAAAATTACTTCAAAACAATACGCTTCCCGTGAATATCGTAAAAATTTAATTAATATTTATTTACTTATGTATATCTTGGCTATGGCAGAATAACAGGGTTTGTGGGTCTCCTGCAATCACTGAGTCATAGACCTTTTTGTCTCTTTTGATTTTTGTATCTGTGAAAAACTGTAAATGAAACCTGTTTTGAGACAAATAAATACTTTCTATTTCTATTTCTAAAAGGTGACTTAGCTTAGCCGCAGACTAGACTTTTAGTCGTTTCGGGCTGTTAATTAGTATGGACGTGTTTGAAAGTGCGCACATTAGTATCGGCCGATTCTTCATACAAATCAAAATCGGGCCCAACTATCGGCCGACTAAGTCTGTAGTCTGCGGCAGGGATGTTATGGATATCCGTAACCGTAACCGAAACTTTCGGATATCCGAACTAAAAAAATATCCGAAACCGTAACCGATTCAAAAGTTTCGGATAGTTTCGGATGTAGGCAGTTTAAATTGTTTTTTGTATAGCATTATAATGTAAAGGCATAACAGCCTGATTTACCTTTATAATGCCATCTAGTATCATTTTTTATTACTGTTTATTCGATGTAAAGTGTGCAGCCATGAATGAGGGATGTTATGGATATCCGTAACCGTAACCGAAACTTTCGGATATCCGAAATAAAAAAATATCCGTAACCGAAACTGGTATAATATTATTCCAACATCCGTAACCGTATCCATAACTGTAACTACATATCCATAACATCCCTGGATGACCTTAAATGACCTGATGATAATAATACTCACGTCCTGTTTCCTCATAATCTCCATCATAAGACACTCAGCCTTCAGACTCTGTGCTCTGAGTCGCGCACAGTTGACAAGCCGTCGAAAGCAAATGTAGCACAGTTTTTGAGGGAGCTTGTCTTCTCTGTTGACCTGTGGAGAAGAAAATTAAATATTACTAGCGGCCGCCCGCGACTTCGTACGCGTGGATCCCGTTTTACCCCCTTTTCCCGAATTTTCTTTGCTATAAACCTCACGGAGCCCGAGACCTTTCCAACGAATGCAAAACCGTGGAAATCGGTTCGTGCGTTCTGGAGTTATAGCGTCAGGGAGGAAAACCCGACTTATTTTTATATAGTAGACTAGCTTTCCGCCCGCGGCTTCGCGCGCGTGGACTACATCATTATCTACATATTTTACGGAACCCTATTTTTTTCCAAAATAAAATTTAGCCTGTGTTACTCGTGAATAATGTAGCTTTCGAATGGTGAAAGAATTTTTAGAAACGGTCCAGTAGTTTTTGAGCCTATTCATTACAACCAAACAAACAAACAAAGTTTTCCTCTTTATACCTAATAATATTAGTGTAGATTAGTGTGCATGGAACAGAAATAATAATAATAATAAAGCGTACAAACAATAATAATATTATTTTTTTATGTCATTTTATTAGGGTTTCGTAGTCCTGTCCTGACAAGGAACCCTTATAGTTTCGATATGTCTGTCTGTCTGTCCGAGGTTATGCTTGGAAACTATTGGCACTCGGGAGCTGTAATGTTGTGGACAAAACGGTAAAATAAAATTTTGAAAAAATTTTTTTGAGGGTAGCCATCCTACATGTGTTTCCCGCTCTAATGGTTTGCTAAATTTTGAGACTTACCTCAGATCCAGTCAAGTTTTCAAACGATTGTTCCAACTTGAATTTTCTTATAGAAAACATCTTGCAATCCACTGCTAAGCATATTCTGCATACCTGTGAACAAACGGTAAATCTATAGGTAGATACATAATAGAAAAATACCACTCACTTATTTTAATTATCATATAATATAGATTAATCATGAAATCTCAGAAACTATAACCAGAGTAAATACAAATGAGTAGGTCATCTTCATAGAAACGCACCGAGCGCGGTTTGTATGTGTGCGCGCTAAATTTTGTCAGTGTGTGCGTGCGCGCCGCATACGTATTGGCGCGCTCAGATACAAACCGCGCTCGGTGCGTTTCTATGAAGATGACCTACTCATTTGTATTTACTCGCCTTTAACACCTACTAACTTGATACAGGTAGATTATTATTATTATTCTGTTTAAAGGCGTCAATGGTGCGTATTTGAAGCACATCTGTTAAGAACGGATTTTACGAAACTCCACCCCTAAGAGGATCAAACGTTAAAAGGGGCCGTCCATATATTACGTCATTCTAAATTAGGGGGGGGGGGGGGTTGGTCTGGGGGGGGGGGTCATTAAGAAATGACGCTAGGATGATTGTAGGGGGGGGGGTCTAAAATCTGAAAAAATCGATGACGTAATTTATGGACGGCCCCAAAGGGAGTTCACACAACAAACCGCTTAATAATTAATTAAAATAACAAATAAAATTATCATTATCCTACCTGTAAGGCATCTGGATCATCGTCCTCGCTATCAGGGTCCTGTAAAATGACATAACACATGAATTCATTGAAGAAATTAACACACCTGCTGTCACCACTGTAACGCCTGTGTATCACCAGTTGGCAGCTGTGTAAAGCCCGGTCTGTGAGCACATACAATTTTGTCCAATGACCCCAAGCTACCCATCCTTATCGCTCGCGCGTAATTATGTTTCTGTCGCGCTCGCACACTCACTGCGGGCGCCCGTCGCACAGTCGCGACAGCAATATAATTACGCGCGAGCGATAAGGATGGGTAGCTTGGGGTCATTGGACGAAATTCTACGTGCTGGGCGACTGGACTATAGTATGTCTGTTAGGCTCGGCGAAAATGGGCCACCGACCACAGCCACGGGTAGCCAGCGACGGAGTGTCCGGCTATTTTGGACTCAAGCAGCAGCAAGAATTTAAGGCAACCGATTCCATGATGATGGTTGATAGTTGATAGTACTAACTCATGAGCTATGATACTAATTGCGACGTTGTTCGTCAACAAAGACGATATATTAAATGAAAGGCACGTGGTGGGTTGCTTATAGGGCATCAAGTAGTCTTAATTCCAGTACTGTGTACTTACAGAGTATCTATCTAAATATATAAAAGGAGAAACTGACTGACTGACTGACATATCAACGCACAGCCTAAACGGCTAAACGTAGGCACTTGAAATTTGGAAGGGACGTAGCTTAGGTACTGTAGAGGTGCAATAAGAAAGGAATTCCCGAAATTCCCACGGGAAGGGGAATTAGCGGGAAGAAACACTTGTATGAAAAAATCTAAACCGCGTAAAATAGATGAAGGGGGTAAAACGGGATCCACGCGTACGAAGTCGCGGGTGGCCGCTAGTGTTAATATAAATATTTGTATTAAACAATCATAGCCAACCTGTATAACTATAGGCAGTGCTCCAAACCGCACCTTCCTCATGCCGTTCTTAGTCTCGTACAAGTCTTCGGGGAGGAAGTGTTCCGAACACAACGAACTCCTCTTCTGTGGCTTCCACGAGTCTTTCCCAATGGCCTCAACCCATTTCGTTTTGAGGGACGGCACACTCGGGAATCTGAAAGATATAGTAACTCAAATCAACAATGTTTATTCAATTTTGACCAGTATTTTGGGAATTGAACGTCAAAAATAATAAAAAGGTAGCCCTTAACTCTTTAAAGGATGTTATTGAATGTATTGCCAGTATAAACATGTAAAGGCTTCTTAACATTAGACGATTTGTAAGAACTAATTGATTTAGTTTTAAAGTTTAAACTCAATTTTTACTATTTTTTAAGTTATAGACTAAGCCACATAGTTTTTGCGGTGTTTTCATCTACCTTAGCCTTGAATTACGTACAAAAAATCTTCAGGAATCCTATAAATATGGATATAATCCGTCATGTATTTGAGCAAAAATAAATCAATTTTATGAGTTACTCACACATGAAATGTGATCCCTTTCGACTTAGAAATGACTCTGGAGTCATTCTTACAACCGGGCGCACAACACCGCATTTTAAAACACAGTAAATACCAGAATTATTCCATATAAACATTACACAGATGTACAGGCACAATGCAAGTATAGTTTTACAACGCTTGTCGAGGTATCACAGTTGCTACTCTTGATAATTATCAATATATGATTTCAGATAAATATATGTAACGAAGACTATCGCTGCCATTATCAGACCAAACATAGTTCTAATTTCTTCCAAAATTATTTCGTGAACCAAAATGCAAAATCTAATGAGAAGTATGAGAACTGTCAAAAAAAGCTATAGGAAGGAAGAAAATCAGAGTAGACACTGTTTTGTATATCTGTACTACTCTAACACACGAGATAATAATGAAAGAAATATTTATTATCCATGAAACACAAAACGACCTCTTGAAATAAGACGGATAATACTATACATGTAAACATAGAAATAATCTAACTAGACAGCTCTCTCTTTTTTTCTTAACAGCATTTGGTGTGTTAGAAAGAGATAGCGAGCCCTGTCATTCTTACCGGAAATAGTTTGCAGGCCTATTGTCAATTTACAAATAGTTGCCAATTTCTTTTACTGCTTATTATTATTAAGAAACATTCATAACGTAGGAAAATATTTTAATAATATGTTATTAAATGAAAAAGAAGCATATTTCTTACTTATCCAATATCCAAAATGCAAATTAACGAATCAGTCGTTCAATAGAGCAATGCTAAAAACAATACGCACTATTTTTCGCTATCTCTTTCCTTCTATTCGTAAGAAGAGAGACAGCATTTGTAAAGCTCACACACACGATCCGTAAATAACGTTATTTTTTAACTAAAACCGGTCTTTCACATGGATTTGGAACATCCCTAGTTACTGACTATTTTGTCACTTTGCTCATCGTCATTCATTCAAAGAGAAAATGGAGCCGACTTTGGGCAACTAATTCATGTTTCTTTCGAATTTACTCATTTACTTTCTTGTGAACCAACGTGAATCGCGTAATTATTCGTAAATTGCTCTAAAGTGTCTTGTTTACTAACTAACTTTACCATTGGTGCAGTTTACATGTTTTTTAAAATCGTAAATTCGTCGTAGTGTATGATAACTGGAGAGGTGATAGTCATATTTCCCAGGCGCAGTCATGCCGACACACCAAAAGGCGGGAATCTGTTTGGTTCCCGATTGTTTGTCCGCGTATTATCCAGGATCTCGCACACGCTTCCACAAGTAAAAACTAATAATTTTATAGTCAATTTCAAATGTTATAATATTTTTTTACTAATTTATGTCTACTCAAAAATAATTAATGTCGATTCTCAGTATACTTTCTCTCATAAACAGAGCTTACAGAGCAAATCACCGATATATAAACCTTTTTAATGTTTAAAAACGATTTCCAGTATTTATGGCATTATTGCAGACATAAAATCATCTTAATTCATTTGAGCATGCTACTAAAATCTCAAATCTAAACAACTTATTTAGAACTTATAAAATTTTTTCTTGTAGATTCCCTGTGAAATTGAAGGAAAGAGGCAAATGGTTGAGAAGTCTAGGAATGAAACCGTCAGATTATACAAAAAACGGCATGATATGCTACTTGCATTTTAAAAGTACGGACTACGTAGAGAACAGTATCAGGAAGAAACTTAAAGACGATGCAGTGCCTTCTAAATTAGATTGTTCAGACTCGTCCAACTCAGATATTGATGTTTACAGGTAAATTTATTTATTAAATAGATGGATTCATTATTTATTTACTCAATTTTATAATATAATTCTTGGATACCTAATACACTGCGCCGTCCAGTCCCAAACTAAGCAAAGTACTATGGGTACCAAAAAGCAAAATCAAAAATATTGTATTCAATTTAAACCAATACCCAATGTTTTGTACCCAAATTTTTTTTTTCCCCCTTTTTATATCTGCAATCGACTTAGGTCATAAGGGGCCATCCATAAAGTACGTCACACGAATTTCATGATTTTTTGACCCCCCCCCCGTCCTTGTCACAGGTGGTCACATTTCTGAGACCCCCCCCCCTCCCTAGTGTGACGTCACATGTTTTGCAATTTCACATCGAAAAATTATTAAATTAACAGCAGTTCCGAAATTAGTTTTATTTCCATTTAAATTAAGTACTTCTTTTATGAAATCAACATTATATCAAATATTTGAAACAATTGAAATGTGATGTCACGAAACTTAGGACCCCTCCCACCCCTTGTCACACCATGTCACACTTTGTCAACCCCCTCCCCCCCCTCTTTACGTGTGACGTACTTTATGGATGACCCCTAATCAGATGTTTTGTCTTGCTTTTTTGTTTGTGTTGTACCCAAATTTATGCACAGTAAATTATTTGATTTGATTTGATTTTGTATTTTGGCACTAGAGCTACAGGTTTCCACCACTGAGCTACATATCAGGGTAGCTCAATGGTCAGAAAGGTTAAAATGTTATGGGTTCGATTGATTTTCTCAATTTGTATGATATGCAGGCCACTACCAACCGGTCAATCTGGAAATTATTGGGGGAGGCCTATGTTCAGCAGAGGACGTCCTGTGGCTGAAATGATGGTGATATCTTCTCTCTTAAATACTACAATCCTAGAAACTTGGTGATACAAATAGGTGTATTAAAATTGGCAAATACTATTATCTATGCATCATCAAACCCCTTCGATATGGTCCCGGTCAAGAGGGCGCGCAATCCGCAATACCCATCGTGTGTTGGTTCCCGCTGAAAACCAGCTTCTCGCCATGGCGCTTGTTATGTCGCGAATATTGCCAGAGTAAATACAAATGAGTAGGTCATCTTCATAGAAACGCACCGAGTGCGGTTAGTATGTGAGCGCGCCAATACGTATGCGACGCGCACGCACACACTGACAAAATTTAACGGGGAGTCAGTCGTGGATGCGCCGAATTTTGTCAGTGTGTGCGTGCGCGCCGCATACGTATTGGCGCGCTCACATACAAACCGCGCTCAGTGCATTTCTATGAAGATGACCTACTCATTAGTATTTACTCTGATATTTCTGAGAGGCGTCCTCTTCAGCATAGCTTCTAGGTTAATGTTATGTACTGTATTCTTATGCTTTATAAAGTATTCTTATTATGTTACAGTGACGCCATCAAAACAGCTTTGGAAAAAGTCCAACCTGGATCGTCACTAAGTGACACTTCCGATGATGATCTTANCCCTGGGATAGAGACATGCGATTTTTGGTTTTATAAAGATAATACAATAGAAAATAATAAAAAGTAATAAAAACCAGCGGTTATAGGGGCATTTTTTGGAAAAATTTATCAAATAACCAAAAAAACACGAATTTAAAAGCAGATTTTTTTCAAAAAGTATAATTTTTTATTATTTGTTGGCCTTTTTTGTGTATTTTATGTATTTTTTTAGTATTGCCTGTTATTTAGCATTGTTACTGTTTTTATTTTATCAAGATATACCGCTTAGTTTAAAAGTTATTACGTTTTCTTTACAATAAGTAATTGGGAGAAAAAAAATTCTATAAAAAATTTAAAAAAAATCTCAAAAACTTTTTGACCTCTTTTTTGTCGATAAAAATAGGTCTAGTTTCATCTATTTTCATATGTACACTTTAACGAGACTCACACTGTATTAATGAAATAATTAAATCAAACACATTTCAAAATAGACTGTAATAGGGTTCGAACCCATGACTTTGCTCAGCGAATGATTGGTGTAGCCACTGAGCTACCAAGATATTTACTTAATATTAATTTTCAAATGAAAAAACATGTATATGAAAATATCCAAATGTGTCTCTGTGTGCTCTTTGATCTATCAGGCTTGAACTCATGAGTCTGCTCAGTGAATAATTGCTCTAACCATTCAGCTACCAATCATCAGTTATAGATCGTTTCATCCACTCGGACGCGCCCCACCATTCTTCCGCGAATGTTTGAGTGTTATCGGTCCACGCTAATGCTCCATGAGTGCACACGCACACTACAGTATTGCCTTACGGCTTGCTCGGACCACACTCCCCGCACCCCGCGCGACCGGGACCACACACTGGGGCGCGCCCGAGGGGATGAAACGATCTATACAGGGTGGAATTTTGTAATGCCACCTGGAGGGCTACCTATTTCTTTTCAAAAATAAAGGAATGTTTTCTTTGAGTAAAATTTTCTATCTACAGTATTAAGAGTCCTTTCCCTCCTCCAGGTGGCGTAACAAAACTCCACCCTGTATGTACCTACTTAATAGATATTCTCAAATGAAGTCATGTAGATAAAAATTAAATTATCCTATTATAGTCTATCCAATATAGCTTGATTAGAATGACGGCTGTCAAACGAATGTGACTAGTGATGGGTATGTTTCGTACGGTTCACATAGATGTATCGATAAGTTTTCAAAAAAATGATATGAAAAAATGCACCCAATTTTTCTTCATATTATGATTTAAATTTAAAGACAGTAAACCTAAGTAGATGTACAACCTAAGTCGTAGTCATTATCATCAATGTTCTTCAGTGGTTTTTTCCTCTCGCTAGAGGGCGGTGGGCATCTCTTCTAGAGCAACGGTGCTATAAATACCCAAAAAATTACCGGTGATTGATTTCCGATGTTTGATTATTTAAGAATGAAATGTTTTTTGGTTTTTAATAGTGAACATTTAGAAAAACGTATAACTTGACTTAAATATGTTAAAAAATTAGTTAGAAAAAAAATTTGTTAAATATGTTAAAAGAATAGTTTTAATTTAATATGACATTTGTCGATATGTCCCAACACTAACATTTTTGTAACTCGAGATAACCTTGTAGAGACGTCGTTAATACTCTAGCTTGATTTTTATGATTTCGAATTACTACTTATTGGTGTAATTTAACGCTGCATTTACACGAAATTATCATTTTTATTGGAAGCACTGTCGTCGAAAATATTGTTTGTAGGTCAGACGTGAATTATTTCTTGTCCGCCAATATTTAGCTCTCATTGCTCGCTACTACAAAGTTATGTCGTTACTTTTGATGACAGCTGTCATTCTAATCAAGCTATATTGGATAGACTATAATGAGTTTTTGTGTGATCTATTTGACATAATTTATTTATTTTTCAGATATGCAGAATATGTTTAGCAACTGGCTGCAAAATGTATTCGATGAAAAAGTATGATCTCGAACAAAAATACCTTTTGCTGACCGGAATCACGGTAAGTTGTTTTTATGTATTTAAAGAATAACTAATATCAGTAATTTGTATAATGTACAAATTACT